CCCCTCCCCGCAGGAAGGCGCGGTTGGGCGCCTGGAGGACGTGTCGAGCCCAATGTCAGGGACGCATGTCACCGGCACCGCCCCGCTGGCAGCGCGCGGTCGGGCGCATTCTCCGGCGTCAGCCAGTCGGGCAGCGAGTACGCAGCCTCGATGAGCAGCAGCTCGCCGTCGCCGTCGCGCAGCGTGGCGCTCACGCCCTCCTCGCTGCCCGTGAGGCGCAGCAGCGCCGCCACCACAACCCACTCGTCATGCACCGAACCGCCCACCGAGAGACGACCCCACACGTGAGCCTCCTCGGCAGGGCTGTCTTCGTCGCCGCCGCCGCCGCGGCGGCCACGGCCGTGCGTACGCGAGTCGGCAGGGTCCCACACCCACAGCTGGAGCGGCTCTCGCTCCCAGACGTGGCTGGCGAGCCACGGCAGCAGCTGCGCTGCCCACGCATCTCGCGCCTCGCGGCACCGCGCCAGCTGCCGCTCTGGGCCGTCGCCGAGGCCGTCTTGCGAAGGGTCGAGGTAGAGGTGGAAGGCAACACTGTCGGACGCGTCGGTGCTCATTGGGGACAACAGCAGGCGATAGAAAGCGCGCGTGCCAGCTGCGCAGACGAGAAAAGAATTTTACTATACAAGCCCCTCTCACAGCAGACTGGCTCGGACTGGCACTACAAATGGCACAGCAGGCGACGGCCCCTTACGGGTCGTCAAAGAGGCCGGCGTACTCCTCCGGCCGCTCCTCCCCCTCCCAATCCTCCCCGGGCTCTGGCTCCTCCTCCTTCGCCCTGCATACCGCAAGACGCCTGTGGTGCGGCCCTGGCGGTTGTGAGTTGACAACCTCATTCCCCCCCCCCATCCTCCCAACACCCTATCCCCACCCACCCAAATAAAGAAATATCTCTCCCCCCCCCCCCCCACAGCTCGGACTCATCGGCGACGCGGCGCCGCTCATGTGCACCTGCGTCGGGACCTACCACCGCGGCAACAAGAACAAGCTGGCGACCAGGGACCAAGTGGAGAGCAAGTTGGAGGTGCTCCGCCGCCTCAAGCGCGCCCGCACCGAGGCCGGCCCCTCCCACTCAGCTGTCTGACAACTAGTAACAGTGCTCAACAAGCACCAACCCTTGCCCCGAGATCTCACATTAGTACCCATTCAAAGAGGCACGAGGCACCCCCCTAGGCAACCCACTCGGAATGAGAGGAGAAGCCGAGAGAGGAATAGTCGTTGATGGGTTTGCTGAGATTCTCGACGACGGGCGAACCCCACTGGAGGTGGCAAGGGATTACTCCCCCCCTCTCCCTCTCCACCACGAGACAGCGAGAGTTACGCCAGCACAGCGCAAGGAGATGTTGGGCAGCGTCCTCTCCCTGATGCTACAGGGCAAACGTGTGCTCATGTGCCCCCAAGGCTTGCCACGGAGATGTAATAGCAGCTAAGCTCGTGCGCATGTACTGCGAGATAGCTAGCCCATAAAATCTTGTCAAAACAAAACACTCCTTTGGAGAGAACGAATCCAGGCATAGTGTGTGTAGCACCGCCGCCAACGACTCCCTGCGACGCCACACTGACAGCTAGACGGAACTCACCAGTCCGATAAGGATCAACTGGAAAGCTGAACCCTGGGCTTAGACAGAACGGGCGTGGCAGGCTCCAGGGGAGGCCACGCTCTACCCGGGGCGCTAAGGAGGGAAATCGAAACTGTTGGGCGTCCATCGACAAACAACCCACGATGACACATCGCCAATCCCCCCTCCCTGAGGACCGAACCTTGGCACGTAGAGCACGGGTCATCTCGGAGAGAGAAAGGGGAGGGATGAGGGGGGGGATAAGGGAGCGCCACACTGAGGGAGTACCCTAGAAGTGAGAGAGATCAGGGGAAGCCATTATGGGGGACGGACACCAAGGCACTAACTTGGTTCATCACTCATTCGCCCCGCACACCTAGCCTACACTAGTACGCGTTACACGGAGCGCCAAGGGGGGGAGAATGGAGGGGGGAGACTATGCGTGCCCGTTCTTTTAGCTAAAGCAATTTTTTTCGACTGCCCAGTGTCGTGCGAAAAAGGAAATTTACATGCGCGAATGGTTGGGTAGTAGGGCTAGAGGGTGGGTCGCTCTACACTTAGCCTCTGCAGCGAGCGAGCGCTCAACTTAGCCCCCGCACGGAGCCGGGCTCGGACTTAGACGCTGTATGGTCGGGGGCCATGAACTTAGACGGCACAAGGCCAAATCCGGGTAAAACCCGGGTATACCTGCAAAAGTCCAGGTTTACCCGAAAAATACCTGGACGCGTCCCGACCAACGTATGCCGCGCACGACGCCATATCGCCTTGTCCCAGGGCCAGTGCGCTACTTGCGGCGCGCAACTCCTGCTCAAGTACGCGCACCGTACCATGTGCTGCCGCTATGCGTGTCTTAAGGCGGCTGCGGCGAAGCGGCGGGCGCGGCATGCCGATGGCAGTGCGGACGATGCGGTTGCGATGTGTTCTGCTTCAAGATCGTGGCGGTGCTTGGCATGCACTTCTGCGATCCCAATCAGCTCATCGCAACGAAGCAGCGCAACAAGCTGGCTGCTGCCAACAAGGCCCTATGCTAGATCTACCTCACGCGCGGATCGTTCAAAGAGGACCAGCATACACAGGCTTCCTTGACATGCGTTTGTTTGAGCTTGAGGCTATTTGTGAGAACTGTTTGGCTTGAAGATTGCGCTCAAGAAGAGCAACGAGAATCGGAAGAGGAGGATGCTGAGGCGGCGATTGCTGAGCATGAGAAGGATCGATCCGGATTAGAAGGCGCCCGCCGCAGGCGAAGAAAATTTGGGGGCTAGCGCCGTATCGTTGATCACGGTGGGAGCCTCTTGGCCCCAGGCTGTGCCACGGCCGACTTAGCCGATGTAAGAGGCTCTCGCTGATCTTAGACCGCGTAAGCACCCCAGCGTGACTAGTCACACTTAGACCCGCTCAGCCTCGAGGCTCAGAACTTAGACTCTACCCAACCAGTCATGCGCGTAGACACACACCAATATAGCCCGTCCGCACCGGCAGTGCCCTTCCATCCCTCTCGCCCTCAGCGGGCCCACCCTCAGTGGGTGGGCGATCGCCTCTCTCGCTCTCTCGCTGTCCTCGGGGCGGCCGCCGAGGTACTGCCATGCGAGCCCCGATATACCTCACTCCGCCCACACCTCGATCTTCTTGGGCTGCAGCTGGTTCGACAGGTCCTCTCCGTGACCTAGGCAGCCGTTCTCGCCCCTGCCCCAGGTAAAGACGGCGCCGTCGGTGGTGAGGGCGAGGCTGTGAGCATCTCCAGCCGACACAGCGACGACGCGCTGGCCAGCGATGGCCTCGACCTTCTTCGGCAGCAGCTGGCGCTGCACGTCGCCGTGGCCCAACCGGCCGTCGCCTCCTCGGCCGTCGCCTCCTGCGCCCCAGCTCCAGACGGCGCCGTCGGCGGTGAGGGCGATGCTGTGGTGCTGTCCTGCCGATACGGCGACGACGCGCTGCCCAGCGAAGGCCTCGACCTTCTTTGGCAGCAGCTGGCGCTGCACGTCGCCGTGGCCCAACTGGCCAAAGCCTCCCCAGCCCCAGCTCCAGACAGCGCCACTGGCGGTGATGACGAGGCTGTGGTTGCCTGCAGCCGACACGGCGATGACGCGTTGGCCAGCCAAGGCCTCCACCTTCTCCGGCAGCAGCTGGCGCTGCTGGTCGCCGTGGCCCAGCTTGCCATCGCTTCCACCGCCCCAGCTCCAGACGGCTCCGTCAGCAGCGAGGGCGAGGCTGTGGTGCAGCCCAGCCGAGACTGCGACGACACGCTGGTCAGCAAAGGTCTCGATCTTCTTCGGCAGCAGCTGGCCCTGCCAGTCGCCGTGGCCCAACCGGCCTTGGCTTCCGTGGCCCCAGCTCCAGACAGCACCGTCGGCGGTGAGGGCGAGGCCATGGTATGTTCCCACCGACACAGCGACGACGCGCTGCCCCGCCAAGGTCTCGACCTTCTTGGGCAGCCACTGGCTCTGCTCGTCTCCGTGGCCCAGCTTGCCCTCGCTTCCAACGCCCCAGCTCCAGACACTGCCGTCGGCGGCGAGGGCGAGGCTGTGCTCAGATGCGGCCGACACGCTCACGGCACGCTCGCCGCCCAGCGTCGACGGGTTCCGGGTTGGTGTGTTGAGCCGCATCACGCCCTCGCCATGGCCGAGCAGCCCTGGATAGTAGGACGGCGTAGAGCCGCACGACGAGAGTCGCCCCTCGCCGTCAATGAAGAGGCTGTGCCGAGTGCCTCCCGCCGCCCTCGCCGGCGGGTTGGACTCGCGCAGCAGAGCCACAAAGCACAGCCACCGCACGGCGCAGCTCTCGCCCTCTGGCAGCGCCGGCAGCTCGAAGCCGCGCTCTCGCGCCCACAAGCGGATGCCCTCCAGCGCGAGCGAGGCGTGAAAGAGCAGCGAGACGGCCGCGACGCGAGCGATGTCGGCGGGGCTGTTGCAGCGAGAGAGGGCGCGCACGAGGAGCTCCGTGGGGAGGTCGAGGAGGCGGGCGGGCGGCGGCGTGTCTGGCGAGGTTGCGGCGGTGGACATCGGTGGAAGCGGCGGCGATGCTGCGCGAGCGGCGCGAGCGGTGCGTTGGGTGGACTTGCCCCCCGGCCCTGCGGCCCGTACTTTTCTTCTTTTTTGAAAAGAATTAAAAAAGAACCCTTCGAGATATTTTTATCTCCTCTCGATACACAAGGGACAGACCGCGCTCTCTTCTCTCGTCCCACATCCGCATGCACCACGATGCACTCATGCACACCAGAGCGTCGGGGTGCGAGGGCACCAACGGGTAGCACCATCAAAGCATCGCGCCGGGTACACGCGCCCCGCATGTTTGAAGGTGCGCTCCCCCGCCCGCGTCGCTAAGCTGTGCGGTCCAGTCACCAGTGAGAGTCCGGTCGCCTAGGCCCCTCTCCCAACCACATCACGCAAGAACAAGCTTCGTCAAGAGGTCCCCACGCCTCGCAAGCAGCTCCTCGCAGGCCTGGTGTCACAGGTCCCTGTCCCCCCCAAACTCGTCGAACAGGTTGTGCGCGCCGGGCGGCAGCGACACCTCGAGGCCGTCCTTCTCACGGGAGAGCACAATCTGGCAGCCGAGCCGAGACCTACAGTCCGCGCCTCTGCGGGTGACGGCCACGCCCCAGCAGGACCACAAGCCCGGCAGGCCCCGCCGCGACCGCTCGTTCGGCTCGAAGGCCAGGTCTAACATGTCTTGCTCCTCTTCCGACGCGGGGCCGAGCTTGCCGCCGCTGTCGCCTGCGAGGCGGCGCTCGCGGCGTGTGGCTGCCTGGCGGAGGGCCTGTGGGTCGGTGTGCCGCTCCAGTGCCGCCCTCTCTCCGTCTTTCTAGCCGCCTCATCGGCGCGCCCGTGTCGCGTCGCAGCCTGGCTGCTTGTGTTCGCCTCTTTGCCCCTCCCTCTCCGCCCCTCCCTCTCCGCCCGTCCCTCTCCACCCATCCGCCTGCGTTGGCCGGGTCGAACCAGTCCTCCCTCACGTAGACGTGGCAGGTGGAGCAGGCCATCACGCCCGAGCAGGCGCACTCCAGGTACTCGCGCAGGATGCGCGCGCCTACACCCAAAGTGCCACACCCGCCGCTGAAGCTCCGCCGTCCGCAACTCGCTGCCCGCGGCCGCGCAGCGGCTGCGCGCCGCCGTCCACTCCGCTCTCGCACACGTCGCGCAGCGTCTGGCCCTCTAGCGCGCTGACGGTGAACGGCCGTTCGCCCGACGCGGGGTAGATCACCACCGACACCGGCGCCTTCCCGGCAGTCTCCGCCATCTCTCGCTCGACTGCCGCGGCGAGCGCGCCGAGCCCGGCATCGGCACCAATCTCCCACGCGCCGGCGAGCTGCTCGGCGGTCTTGAGGAGCTCGCCGTCCCGCGCGCCCCACCCAGAAGGATCTTTCAGCGTCGCGATCACCGCCGACGCCAGCCGAGGCTCGTAGCCCCGCTCGACGATGAAGGCCAGAGCGCTCGCCTCGTCGTCGCTCGCAGAGCTGGCGTATGGGGCGGCACGAGCGGCGCCGGCGGCCACCGGCTGCTGGCGGCGTGGTGCGGCGCGAGACGCCAGGCTGCCTCTCGCACGGCGCACGGCGTGAAGCATGGCGGCAGAAGAATTCTTTTAAACCACGGCATAGCGCGAGAACATATATCAACTTGCGATGTTTTCTTTCTTTCTTTGCACCGGTCTCAGGGTTGGGCGAGGGCCCCAACATCCTGTTGGAACGATGGCGGTGGCCCTCCTGCTTGCATTCAGCGGCCAAGCTCGTTCGAGCAGCATTCGCGCCACCACGCTCTCATGCGCTCCACGCCGCTCCTCGCCTGTCGCACACTGGACAGGGCGCCGCCACGCCTGCCGTCTCGCTGCGGCAGGGCTATTCCTGCCCGCGGCTTCTCACGCCGCAGACGAGTCAAAGATCTCTCGACCAAGGCCTCGAGCAAGCTGCTCAACTCGGCCGAGAGGCGACGCGCTCGCGGCCATCAACTGGGCGGCGCCAAAGGCTACCGGCCTGAGCATCGAGGAGATGGCCCGGAGGGTCGATGCCGGCCTCCGCCGCGAGTGCTGGTTCGTCACCGGCCGGTCGCTGCCTGAGCTCTTCTCGTCCGCCTTCACGTTCTCCGACCCGCAGGTGACGCTGGCGGGGATCGAGGAGTACAGCAGGGGAGTCAGGTCCTTCTACAAGCGGCTCCGGTGGTGAGCCTGTGTGTGTGCCAGTCCGCGCCAGTCTGCGCCCTTGTCGTGCCAGTGTGCTGTGAGAGAGGCTTGTATCTTAAGAATTCTACAAGCAAGGGTCCGCCGTGGGCGAGATTGTCTGCACGGCTGCCACCGCTCCGGACACCATCACCGTCATCTGGCGCAACTTTGGCACCGTGAACCTTGGGCCAGGGTTCGACCTGGCGCCCTACCTGGTCACCACCACCCTCAAGACCTCGGCGAGCGACGGCGGCCTGATCGTCCGGCAGGAGGACGCCTTCGAGGCGCCAGACAAGGTGGAGCTGCTCAAGTACAACCTGTTCAAGGCGAGGCGACCCGCCGTGCCGGACATCGGCGCCGTCGCTTGCCCGCTGCCCAGGGCAGCGTGAATCGCGCAGGCGAATTGATAATGACGTCGCAAATTTGGAGTATTTGGAAATTGGACTGCATTCACTTGGGGCCGACTACACGGTGACCCATACGGACCTTGCACAAAACCTTTTCCTTCTAAGCAGGGCTACACAATGACCCTATAGTGTGGGGGTGTTCCTGGCGAGTTGTGATGAGTAGAATTAGACTAGCCAATACTATTTTGAAGTTCATATATGAAAATACCAACTTGCCTATGTGCACGTCTCCGCGGCGGCGGCCCGGAGGCGGCCCGGCGGAGCAGTCAGAGCAGCACTGCGCCGGCCGGCGAGCGACTCTCGACTATAGTACGGGCTCTATTGAATGGCCTCAAGGTGCTCTCTAGGACTGCCCTACTCCGCTCGCCCGGCTACGACGCTGAGCTTCGAAGGAAAAGGTTTCGCTCGGCACGACGTCGGAGAGCAAACTTCGGCGTTCGTCCTAAAGCCGTATGTGGAATGCTGGACGCACGTCGGCAAGTGGGCCCATGACAAGGCGGGCTGCTGCTCAGAATCTGGGCCGTCGGCGCTCGCTCTCGCGCTCTTCATAACGGCGTTGCCCCCTCCCTCCCGCGCCGACGTTGGGCAGCCCGACCACGACAACGCCAGTGCCGCTGGCCTGCAACTCGAGGCGCCTTTGAATGAGCACGAGCCGGTGCGCAACGCGGCGCGGGTGATGCAGCCCAAGGTGACGGCGACGGCGGAGGGGTCGGCGGCGGAGGGGGAGGCGGCAGCGGCGGCGATGGCCGCGGGGTCGGCCCGCCCGCCTTTGCTGCTGGTGCTGTGGGATGTCGGTCATCTGCCACCACTCGCCAGCGACAAGGTAGCCGGGTCCATGGACGCAGACTTGCTGGAAATTGAAGAGGTGCTCGGCGTGCGTTACTGCGATCCGAGCCAGATGACTGCGGTGGCGCTGAGGAACCCTGTCGATGAAGACGACGACCGCTTGGAGTACCTCGTCTCTGGTTCGGCAGGTCCCGACGACCATGGCTTCCATTCTGTCGCTTGGTTTTTTCACGGCGACTTGCTGGACCATGCAGGTGCGGACACGGTCAAGGCAGCGATACAAGAGTATTAGAACTGGATAAGGAATTCACGGCGCTGGCGGAGGCGTGTGACGAGGCTGATGCTGAGTAGCCGCACCAGCGCTGCTCAGCGGCAGTGTGCGCCGACCAGGGGCAGGGCCAGTGGTAGACAGTGGACGTGGTGAGGCTGCTCTTCGAGCGATGACACTAGCAGGAGCATCATGAGTGTCATCGGAGTCACTTGTGTTACGATATCACCACGCCGCCACGCTCGCAAGGGCCGCCTAAGCGCCTAAGCACCCTAAGCACCCCCCCGCTTAGGCCGCTTAGGCGCTTAGGCGAGTGACGGCCGACTCCCCGGGGCCTGGCGTGCCTCCGCCATGGGCTGAGCGCCTGGGAGAGCCACTCAGCAAGTGGTGTGCGAGCGTGTAGCCTTTAGCGTGCAGTCGGCCTTGGAGCACTTGGAGTGCAGTCAGTAACCGCACACCCAGGGCCGGGGAGCTGAGAAGCGCACCCAGCGGGCCGGATGATTGGCATCGGGTTGCGGGCAAGAGAGCCCTAGCCCAGGGGGTGCGCGTTCGCAGGGAAAGGGCCGTAAAAGTAAACATTGCGTCCAGTTTTTTTTTTCTCTGAGAGCCTCGCGGTGGGTTCCGAGAGCGGCTCGTCACTTCGCGCGAGCTCAGCGCCGACCGAGCGACCGAGCTACCGAGCTGTGCATTGCCCACGCCGACCCGCCGCCCCCTGTCGCATGAGCGCCTTTGCGGCGCTGTCTGGCGTCGACGGCGACGCGGCCGAGGTGCTCGCAGAGAAGAACCGGAAGAAGGAGAGGGAGGAGGCGGAGAGGGCGGCAGCGGCGGAGGTCGCGCGCGCGCGCTTCGACGAGCTCAGGGCGGGCGCCGGCGGGCGCGACTGGGCCGACAGCGACGAGGACGACGACGCCTTCTTTGGCGCTCCGCCTCCCGGGCTCGCGCCGCCGCCAGGGCTCGGAGAGCGGAAGAGCGGAGAGCGGAGCACGAACGCCGACTCCGAGGCGGAGAGCGAGGAGGAGAGCGAGGCGGAGGCGGAGGGCGCCAAGCCGCCGCCCGACGCCGCAGCGGAGGAGGCTGCACCCAAGCCGCGCCGCAAGAAGAATGTCAAGCAGGACGCTGAGCTTGAGGAGGCGGGAGACGGGCAGCCGAGATGCAGCCGAGATGCAGCCGAGATGTCCCCGAGATGTCCCCGAGATGTCCCCGAGATGCAGCCGAGATGCAGCCGAGATGTCCCCGAGATGTCCCCGAGATGTCCCCGAGATGTCCCCGAGATGTCCCCGAGATGTCCCTGAGATGTCCCCGAGATGTCCCCGAGATGTCCCCGAGATGTCCCCGAGATGTAGCCGAGGGAGAGGCGGAGGAGGAGGCGGAGGAGGTCGCAGAGGGCGCCGCCGCCGACCGGCCAACTCCTCTCCCCGTCCCCGCCCCCCACCCCCTGCCATGCTCCCTGCATGCTCCCGGCCGTGCCGTTTCGGGCTCCAGTCTTTGGACGCGGAGGCTTGCGAGGGTTGTCCCCCCGCCCCTCGCCCCACCACCGCGCGTGTGAGGAGGGGCCGACCGGACCTTGCCTCCCCCCGCCGCAGGTTGAGGCGATGCTCTCCCCACATCTCCCCTTATCTCCCCCATATCTCCCCACATCTCCCCCCGCCGCAGGTTGAGGCGATGCTCGCCTCGCTCGAGACGGCGAACGCAGACAAAGAGAACCCGCCGGACGGCGGCGGCAAGGACGGCGGCGGCCTCTCCAAGGCAGCGCAGAAGCGGGCCAAGAAGAAGGCCGAGGCGGCGGCGGGCAAGGCGGCGGCGGAGGTGCCGCCGCCGGCGGCGGGCGGCGCTGCGGCGGGCGGCGCTGCGGCGGGCGGCGCTGCGGCGGGCGGCGCTGCGGCGGGCGACGCGGCCGCAGGCGAGGCTGCGGCAGGCGAGGGTGCGGGGGAGGGGTCGAGCGCGGGCAAATCGGCAGAGGAGGTGAAGGCGATGATGAAGGCACGGGCGGATGCGGCGAAGAAGGCCAAGGAGAAGAAGAAGGGCGGCACGAGCGCCGCCGCCGCCGCGGCCGCCGCCGCGCTCAAGGCTGGAGGCGGAGGCGACAAGAAGAAGAAGAAGGGGGACAAGTCGCACTACAGCCAAGAGCCGCGCTGGACCTGAGGCGCTGGTCCTGAGGCGGGCGGGCGAAGGCGGGTTCGCGGAGGCGGCTGCGGCGGCGGCGCAGCGGGAGGCGGGCGGGCGGGCGGGCGGGGGGGGGGGGGGGCAACCCGCCGTCCTGCGGGTGTGCGAGCGCCCCTGTGGCGCTGCCCGGCGAAAGGCCGCCCCACCCCGGACCCCTTTCCCTCTTTCCACTCCTTGCTTGCCTGCCCGGCCGCGCCTGCTCGCTGGTTGCTGCTCGCCCGCGCGGGGCTTCCCCCGAGCAGTGTATGCGCGACCTCCCAAAAGGGCGGTCGCAAAGAAAGGGGGTAAAGGGGGAAAGGGGGGGGGGGGGGGGCCCCCCAAAAAAAAAAAAAAAATTCCCATGGGGGGCGGGGGGGGCCCCCAGGTTGGTCGAGTACTGCGGCGGGTGCACTCTGGCCGTTCTTGTTGGGGGGGGGGGAGGGGGGAGTCACCTGGATGAGAGTCTCGCCACCCGTGCGGCGGCCGGGCTCGCCGCTGCGCGCTTGCGCGCGGTCCACCCGGGCCGATCGCCGGATTCGCGTGTCCGAGACGTGGGCGCATGTGCCGGAGGTCGCCTCGTATCCTCCGCTGCGAGATATTTTACACATTTGTCGGGGACTAACAACGCCGCGGTGACACTCTACTCGAACACCACGTGTGTTGCATCGTGGAGGGAAAAGCAAGAGGCAGATCCAGAAGCACATGTTCAAGAAGCACCACCATCACAACAGTCTGTGAAACCTTACGGACCGCCAACGCACGATTTGCAAAGACGAGCGACGGCAGACCGGCTTCCTGCTATCGTTCCGCCTCGCGCATTTTGAACTTGTCCTTCCCGTCAGTCCGCACGACAAGGCCGCCATCGAGTATCGGCAGCCGCTCTGCAGACAAGGTGGTGAGGAGGCGCTGGCTGTGGCGCGAGCCGAGATGCTGGGGGTGGCGGAGCGCGCACCAAGCGTGCCCTGTGAGCTCGCGTACTGGATGTACGAGGCGACGCCGGCTGCAGCGAGCGTGAAGACGATGAGCGCTCGTGTGGCGGCCGCCTCAAAGTCGCGTGAGCCGCGGTAGCGGTAGATGCGCTCGCCGAGCGAGACGTTGCGTTTGAGACGTTGCATGCGCCGGCGAGCGTGGCACTCTCTGCTCGGTTGCGCTGGGGCTGCCGCATCGACGCGGCATTTCTTTTTCGCCGTAAATTTCTTTTCGCTGAAATGGAAAGCAGAAAATCTCTTACCCCCAGTCCGGGTCAGCCTTTAGCCGCCATCTCTGCTCAGACGAGAGCCAAGCCTGTTCAGCAAGCGCAGCCGCTGCTCACAGTCTCGCACCTGTGCCTCGCGCACCGGCCGGCACCTGCCGCCGCTCTTTGATCCTTGCAGCGCTCTCCGCGCCTCGCCCAGCGTCGCGTTGGTCTGCTTCGCCAGGAGGGCAAGTGGCACCGGCTTGGTCGCGCGCGGCCTCGGTGCTGAGAGCTGCGCAAACACTTCACCAAAGTCGAGGGCAAACTTGCTGTGCACGAGGTTGGTCGGCGCCTGGCTAAGGCAGACAAAGCACGCCGTCGCCGCGTCGCCCGTCATCGACTCCTGCAGCAGGTCCACGAGGTCACTCAGGAACGCACGGAACGAGAACTTGGCCCGCTTACGCTTTGCCTCGACCAGCCCGCGTACGCACGCAGATAGCATGGTGAGTGAGTAGTTGGTGAGCATCCCGTTGAGCGCCTCGCCGCCCTCCTTCCACGATACGCTGGCGCCGTGGGCGTCCTTGAGCCGCTCCGACCCGGCAAGGTCAACAAACTGGAAGCGCGACGTGCGCACGCGCGCAACACCAGCTTCGTCCTTGAGCACGCGCAGCGTGAGGAATGCGAAGCAGTGTGAGCGCGAGGACGTGTTGTTCATCAGCGTGCCCGCCGTGTTACGCGTCGCCAGAGCACCGCAGAGCAGCCGGACATCAGCGGGACTGTCAAGTGGCAGCTCTGTCATGCCGCAGAGTCGTGGCGGATCTGAGGCCTTGTCGAGCGCAACACCGAGCGCTGCAGAGCTCCATTGACTCGTGCCTGCGCCATCATTCGCAGCGCGCCGCACGGCGGTCTCCGACCGCGCGAGCATATCCTCATTGCCCATGATCGAGAGCTCGACCGCGCTTGCCGTCAACACTGCAGCAATGCCCTCCTGGCGGAGCTTTCCCACCGTGTCGACAGCCCCGAGTACGCCTCGTGGGAAGAGGCCGTAGTCCTGATCGACCCCGTCTCCCAGCTCGCCAGCCGCAGCGCGTGCTAGGATCCCTGGTGGTCCAAATACCGTGTGCGTCTTGCCAGAGCCAGTCTGACCGTAGGCGATCACATTTACGTTAACTCCATCCACAAAGGCTTGCATGTTCACTGGCATGAATGCATCGTACAACGCCTGCTGGTCCATCTCCGGAGCAATCACGTGAGACGGATAGCTGAAAAGTCGTCCATCAACAGTGACCTCAGCTTTGGGCGCCGAGAAGGTGACACCACTTGGCGCGCCGGACGCAGAACTGCGCTCGCCACCGCCACCGCCAGCTCCAAGCGGCTTCATCCGCACGACGGCGAGGCCGCCGTCGTTCATCGCCAATTGTTTGTGTGATCGTTACACGTTACACCGGGTCCCCGTGAGTTTTTCTCCTTCTTGATTGAGCTAGCCTATGTTATGAAACAAACGCAAGGCGGACGCACACATGGCACATCGCTTTCAGGCCCACAGACATCCCGCACACCCACCGCCCCCGCGCGCGCACGTAACGACGCGCTAACTCGATACTAGTTAAGGTAAGGTAAGGTAAGGTAAACTTCTCCACACACACGAGGTGGTGGGGCAAGGGGGGGCAACCCTCGCGTCTCCACGTCTAACGACAGGAGCCCCACGGCATTTAAAGTGCAAGGCCCGGTGCGCGTGGGTGAGCGGATACGGGGAGCGGACCCTGAGTTGACCAGGGGTTGTGCGCCGGGCCCTCCTGCTCGGCTCCAGCGAGTAGACAAGTGTTGTCATCAACAGAGTAGAAGGATCTGACCTCGGGGCCGATGTGACCAAGCGCTGGTAGCGTGGTTTTACCTCACACCCATGGTCTCACAGTGTGCCGGCAGTCGCCGAGCAGTGTCGCTCACACAAGCCGCAGCACAAGTGACTGAGGGCCAGTGAGGGCGAGCCCATCGCTGTCACAGCTGTGGCAGCCGCACAGTAGGCTGTGTCAACTGTGCAGAGTGTGTGAGCAGCAGAGGAGCTGCTCTCCAGGCTTCTGTCGCAAAGAGCTGCATGCCACCGAAAGCGCTGTCGAGGTTCGCCGAGCGCGGCGCAGGTTGAGGGAAGCCGCCACCGACGAGCGCGTTGGACTTTTCAGTCCGGACAAAGACGGCCGCACGCACACGAGCTGCGGTTGTGCGGCCGTCATAGCGGCGAGGCGCGGGACCGTCTGTGGCGAAGTGGGTCGCGTCCCTCGATTTCCTCAACTCACGGTCCGCTCCCTTTACTAGTTACTAGATGCCCACTGCTGGCGTGTGTGTGCAGGGTCAGAGCGTTCGGCTCTGGAGCTCGGCGCGCGTTGTCCTTACTCCTTTCGTGCTTCGGACTGCGACTGTCCGGCAATGTACGGTATTGCTGCAGTCCACAGACCGACAGAGAGCTCCTCAGCCATGCCTGACTCTGGCACAAAACCTCTACACCAAAGAGACGTGGCGCCCGAGACACGTTCGGTAAGAGACCGCAGCAGAACGTACAGAAGAGAGCAAGGCAGCCGAACCGCCATGCTCCAGCATTGGGCGCTACCCCCAAACGTACATAAGGTCCGCGGGTCGGTCCCGAGACTAAACCGCACTGCGCGGCCGTGAGAACGGACCCCGGCCACCCGGCGCGTGCACTGGCGGCTCGCACCCTAGCTGCGCGCCGAGTTGTCCTTCTCCTCCGCGCTCGGCCCGACCGCCCGCTCGGCGCGGCTCATCTTGAGCAGCACTTGCAAGCGAGCGGCGTCCCACGGCACAAGCACAAAGAGGGCCGAGCAGCAGATGGCGCCTGCTTCACAGGCCGAAATGTCAAGAGACGCTGCGCGCCGCAGAGGGTGCAGAGAGGGCGCAGCAGGCAGATGGCGCCGATGGCGACGATGTACTGGCGCGCCTCGCCGCCCGACGCCGCCATGCCTGCCAGGATGGCGATGAAGGCGCCGAGCCAGAGCAGCAGCCGCCTGGCCACAACGCGCGTGCTGTGAAGACGCGCTGTTCACAGCAGCGCCGTGTGGGCCAGAGCAGCAGCCGCCCCGACAGCTGCGTCTTCAGCCAGTGGCTGCTGAGCGAGAGCTCGCGCGCAGAGAAGTGCTCGCGCCTGTGTCGCAGAGATTGCTCTCAGGGTGCTGCCGAGAGGTCGCCGCGAGGCCGACCCCATGTCGCGACGGCTTGGGGGGTGCGCCTCGCGCCTCAGCTGCGCGTGCGACGCCGCCGACCGCACCACAGCCTTTCCAGTCAGCGGGTCTGTGGCCTCCCCGCCGGCCGCCAGGCTCTCGGTGGCATCGAGGATCGCCGAGTGCGCCGCCTTGGTGATCGGGTAGATCTTCGCGCCCAGGCACACCAGCAGCAGGCAGACGCCCGAGAGCGCGAAGAGGAAGGCGCGGATGATCCACACCACCGCGTCGCTGCCTGCTCGCAGAGGGGTGGGACTCGCCGCTGTCGCTGTGAAGTGGGTGACTCCACGCCACCGCGTCGCTGCCTTGGTCGACACACGGCGCCTGGCGGCCGACCTCGCCGAAGAGCGGCGGAGAGTCGAACGTGCTCTGCCCGTCGCAGGAGTAGCCGATGTCGCCAGGGCACTTCCAGCGCATGTAGGCCTCGTCGCACGCCACGCCGCAGCCGCACTCGCAGCCTCCGTTGTTCTCGAAGCCGACGGCGCTCATGAGGAGCAGCGGCACGACGCCGCCGATCACCTTCAGAGTCACGGCGTGCTTGACTGACTCACCCTCCCTAGGAGGAGGAGCGGACAAGGCACGACCCCGCCGCTCACCTCGATGACTGCTGCAGGTTGGTTAGGGTTAGGGTTAGGGTTCGGGTTGAGGGTTCGGGTCTGGGTTCGGGTTCGGGTTAGCGATAGGGTTAGGGTTAGGGTTAGCACCTCGATGAACTGCTGTAAGTTGGTCTCGGCGACCGTGTAGACGCCCTCGGAGCGCTTGCCGGTGTGCAGCGCGTCGTAGTCGATGATGTCCGCGAGCATCGAGTCGAGGACGACGAACATGACCACGGTCAGCAGGCCGACGAAGACGCCGGCGACGTAGATGACGGCGGTGGGGAAGGACTGGGGGGGCACGAAGAAGAAGGCGAAGAAGAAGGGGCAGCAGGCGCCGGAGACGTACATCAGCACCTCGCGCTTGCCGAAGCGGCGGGTGAGGTACCAGACGAGGGGCGTGCCCAGGAGAGAGGCGAAGAGGATGACGAGGACGAGAGTAAAGTAGAGCGACGCCCAGTCCTCCATCTTCATGCCTGCTCACATGCAGCCGCGTGTCTTCACAGCGGGAGGTGTGAAGAGGCTCGTCCTTCCGCCGTCACGTGCCGTAGCGAAGGAAGAAGCTCATCAGGTTGACGGGCAGCAGCGAGACGAGGGAGATGGGGAACCTGCCAATCACCGGCAGCTGTGAAGGCGCCATGCTGACAGGGGCAGCAGGGAGGGGAGGGGAGAGCTCGCGGACTTGATGAAGAGGTAGATGCAGTACGGCCGGTTGCACAGCGCGCGCCGCACAGCCACCACGGCGGGCACCTAAGCCAGTGAGAAGAATGATGGAGATGGAATGGTCGGTGGCCCCGCACAGCCACCGACGGAGGCACCTCGTTCCCTTGTCCCGTCTTCGCCTCTGGTCGCTCGCTCACCCCGAAGCCGAGGACGAGCAGAGCGGCGAGCGAGACGATGCCTACCCCTCGTCGCACCAAGAATGAGTGTCTCACCGGCGAGGAGGAGCAGGCCGGCGAGCGTGGTTGCGCCGAGGACGAGAGCGGTGTACGCGTAGACGGCGATGATGTTGGTGGGGAAGATGTTGGAGAGGACGAGGCCGACGGCGTTGGGCACCGCATAGCCGAGGAACTGAAAGACGACTCGCACGGAGAAGAGGGAGACGCGCTTCGAGTAGTCCGAGGTGAGCTCCATACCGAGGGCGTCGTACCTGTTCATCATGCCTCTGTCTGCACCTCTTCGTCTAACCTATGATTTGACTCCTCCGGCCGAGTCGCGCACGGAATCATGGTGCAGGTCCACGAGAAGAAGTAGTAGGCAAAGTAGAAGAGCGCGAACCAGACCGACAGCGCGGCCGGCGCCGGCGGGTTGGAGGACTCGACGCTGCTCACCTACCCTCGCCACACTCATGGTCAGCAGAAAACAAGGATCCGCTCCTCCGGCCCTCGAGGCGGCTCACGTTGTGCGCGGGCAGCGTGCCGTTTGCAATCATCTCGACGAGGCACTGCTCCAGCGCGGGGCAGGCGGTGGCGGAGTCCGGCTCAATCTGTTCACACGCGATCCGTGTGAAGAAGGCGCTGCCTCAGGGGCGGGCGATGGCGGAGCCCTGCTCCGCCTCTCCGCACGGGAAGTCGTCGGAATCGGAGAAGACCGCGTCGCCGGAGAAGGGGAAGGGCGTGACGAGTAGGAACATGGAGACGATCGCGAACGGGAAGCAGACCACCACCCACGGCTTGCGCCTCCCCCAGCGGGTGGAGACGTTGTCCGAGGTGGTCCCGACGAGAAAGCCGAGCAGAAAGTCGACGGACTTGCAGCACGAGACGATCATCGCGTGGGTGAGGATCGACTGGTTGAGCGCCTCGATATAGACCGCCGTCCGCGCCGGACGCACGGTCAGGTCGTAGCCGGAGATGGGCAGCCGGAAGAAGCCGTAGGCGCACATCGTGCGGCTGCTCAGCGTCTCGTTGTAGCGGGCAGAGGTTGACCGCCCGACCGAGTCTGTGGCGGCTGGAGCCGCCTCCGCGGGCGTGGTGGAGGCGTACGACATTGCTGGGTTCAGGGCCCGGTCACACCGAAGGGCGCGGCTAAGACCCGAGCGCCTGCCGATAAACCTGAAACCGCCAAAAAAGAATTCGCGCGCGACGTGTCGCTGCGTGTCGTTACCTTCTGTCCCGCGTCCACCCATACCGCATTGGTGTCCAGTCCGAGCCTGACTGCAAATCGCCTTTCTATCAATGTATGTTGGCGCGATTTTTAGAAGCCAACAAGATATGTGGCACACAGAGTGATTTGGGCTCGGCAGCTTGTCGACTACCGGCCGAAGCCTCTCTTCTCTATGTTGGTGGTGGCCGCCAGGATCGCACATACAATAATCTATGTTCTTCTCACTACAATGAGAATTGCTCACTACAATGCAAATGAAAATTGCTCAATCGAGACGCTTATGGCCCGGGTGAACACTGTCAGGCCGAGGGTGCTGCCTCTGCTTAGTTCTGTCCTGCTAATCGCACATCATGAACTCGAAGAGGAACCTATGTCGGGGCGGCTCCGCATAGTGTCCCGAACGGTCTCAAATGCTAGAGGTCCTCACAGGAGGTAGGAGGAGGTCCTCAAATTCAGGAGGTCCTCACAGATCAGTGAGAGGTCCTCGACAGCGTGGGGACCTCCACTCACTCCTGCCCGGCTGAGGACCTCTTCTCTCGAGCACTTCAACAAGCACGTCGGCAAACCGCTCAAGGTCCACGAGGGAAAGGTGCACGAGTTCCTCGGACTCACCATCACCAAGACGCAGACCGGTTTCAAGCTGTCTGCCGGCAAGTACATCGACACGCTGCGCGCGCGCTTCTTCCCGTCAGGCGTCACGCACGCGGGCTACAAGGTGCCCGCGGACAAGGATCTCCCGTCCATCGTCATCAGCGCAGCCGAGAAGAAGACTGTGCCCGACCCGCTGCTCCTCCAGCGCTGCCAGTGCCTCATCGGCAGCCTCATGTTCGCCACCAACGCGCAGCTGGCCGGGTTCGTCAGGCGCCCGCCGTTCAAGTTTTGGGCGTTCATGCCTAAGTGAGGGTGTGAACGGGAATGTGCCACCCTGAGAACGAGCAGAGTGTCAGTCGGAGTGCATGTGGCGTTTGGGAATTCTTTTTTCACGATGATGCCCGCCTCGACGCCTTCTGCGCCGCCGCCGAGCGACGCCGCGCCGCCGCCCGGCTCCGAGACTTTGGACGTGGGCGGCTGGCAGGTCGTCGTCACCGATGGGCACGCGGTGCTGCCCGAAGGCATGACGCACCTGCCGGACTGGGCGTTCCTCAACCGCACCTCTCTCGTCTCGGTCGCCTTCCCGAGCAGCCTCGTCTCCATCGGCAGCAGCGCCTTCTTCGACTGCTCCTCGCTCGTCTCCATCGACCTCCCCGCCAGCCTCACCTCCATCAGCAGAGGCGCCTTCTACCGCTGCTCCGCCCTCTCCTCCATCTCCCTGCCTGCCAGCCTCACCTCGATCGGCAGCCGCGCCTTCTACCGCTGCTCTTCCCTCTCCTCCACCTTCCCCGCCGGCCTTACCTCCATCGGCGAGGGCGCCTTCGAGGGCTGCTCCTCCCTCACCACCGTCACCTTCCCCGCCGGCCTTACCTCCATCGGCGACGGCGCCTTCTCTGGCTGCTCCTCCCTCACCACCGTCACCTTCCCCGCCGGCCTTACCTCCATCGGCGACGGCGCCTTCTCTGGCTGCTCCTCCCTCACCACCGTCACCTTCCCCGCCGGCCTTACCTCCATCGGCAGCGGCGCTTTCGAGCGCTGCTCCGCCATCACCACCGTCACCTTCCCCGCCGGCCTGACCTCCATTGGCAGCATCGCCTTCTTCGACTGCTCCTCGCTCGTCTCCATCGACCTCCCCGCCAGCCTCACCTCCATCAGCAGAGGCGCCTTCTACCGCTGCTCCGCCCTCTCCTCCATCTCCCTGCCCGCCAGCCTCACCTCGATCGGCAGCCGCGCCTTCTACCGCTGCTCTTCCCTCTCCTCCATCACCTTCCCCGCCGGCCTTACCTCCATCGGCGAGGGCGCCTTCGAGGGCTGCACCTTGCTCGCCACAGTCACCTTCCCCGCCGGCCTTACCTCCATCGGCATGAACGCCTTCTCTGGCTGCTCCTCCCTCACCACCGTCACCTTCCCCGCCGGCCTTACCTCCATCGGCGACGGCGCCTTCTCTGGCTGCTCCTCCCTCACCACCGTCACCTTCCCCGCCGGCCTTACCTCCATCGGCAGCGGCGCTTTCGAGCGCTGCTCCGCCATCACCACCGTCACCTTCCCCGCCGGCCTGACCTCCATTGGCAGCATCGCCTTCAGCGACTGCTCCGCCCTCGCCTCCATCACCCTGCCCGCCAGCCTCACCTCGATCGGCAGCAGCGCCTTCTACTGCTGCTCTGCCCTCTCCTCCGTCACCCTGCCCGCCAGCCTCACCTCGATCGGCAGCAGCGCCTTCTACTGCTGCTCTGCCCTCTCCTCCGTCACCTTCCCCGCCGGCCTTACCTCCATCGGCGACGGCGCCTTCTCTGGCTGCTCCTCCCTCACCACCGTCACCTTCCCCGCCGGCCTTACCTCCATCGGCATGAACGCCTTCGCACGCTGCTCCTCCCTCACCCGCGTCACCGTGCCAGACACTGCCACCACCATCCGCCCCCGTGCCTTCCCACGCGCCACCACGGTCCTCCGCCTCTCGCCCGCAAAGATGCGCTGGTACAATGCCGTGGACCGGACTCTTGCCTACAAGCGCTTCGCTCTCGAACACAAGGTTGGCCTTCTTGGCTGGCTAGAGCGGGCCAACATCAGGCTTGGCTCTTACGGCCCGGACGGCGCGGCGCGCAAGCGCGACCGCGAGGAGTTTGAGGGCGACTTTTTGCACGGCGCTGCGGCGGGATCGTCCGGCGCATGACCATGAGATAATGTTGAAATTCTGTTCGCGGTCAGGACCGCCTCCTGCACGCGAGAATGGCAGTGCGTGGGGTGCAGGCGGGTCGTGTGTTTTTTGTGGGTGTGGGTGTGTGCTGGGAGCGGGCACCTCTCTCGCCGCGGGCCGCGGCTGAAAAAAACCAAAAGTGTAAGTGAGGGATGCGAGGCACGCCGCCACACCCCACCGCATACACAGAAACGAAGAGAAAGGAACAAAACTGAAAACAGCCAACCAGCAACACCTGTCCATGCGGGGGGGAGATGGGGTCCCATGGCCCGCCGCAGGCGCCGATTTTTTCGGCTTGTTTTTCTTTTTTCGCGGTTTTTTACTTGTTTTCATGGGAATTCGGCGTACTTGCGGCCATGCTATCACGCCTTGCGACAGCCTGTCGGCGCAGCTGACCGTGCCATGATGCACAATTGATCACCTGCATAGCTCGCGGCCTTAGTATCAAGCATTCAGTGACGACCTGATCGTACGGCCAGTAGGAAGGTGTCCTTCCATCGTGTGCACGCTTCTGGCGCAATGCGCGTCACCTCGGATTGGCTGCTGGCACTCTCGAGGCTATGCCTACACAGCCTCGCGCGCATGGGCAGTCAAGAGGGACCATGCACCTTCTCAGGACAGCGCCGTGCCTCTCTCTTGGACCGGCAAACTTGGTGGTCTCGTGTCACCAATGTGGGACCAGTGCGGCATCGCGCCATCGACAGCTCTGAACTGCGCCTCACCACTGACCGGGAAGGCCGCCAAGTGGGCCAGCACAGGTCGCACATTGTGGCAGCAGTCAGCAGTGCATGGCTGATAGCTAGAGCAGCAGCGTCAGGGTCGCAGGGTCGGATCGTGTCAAGCCTCTCGCCCGGCCGGCCGCGTGCAGACGTCGGCCTGTCTGCTGTCTGGAGTGATCTGTCGGCGGTCAGTACGACCGATCAGGTCGGAGTTTTCTGATGGTTGGAGGGTCTATCTGTATGTACTCCTCGAGATATCTCCAAATCTGCCCTCTACTTAACCGTACTTAATCGGGAAGTCGGTGCTCATAGAGACTCATAGAGCCGGAGCCCCGTTTCCGCACTGCGGCGCGGCGCACGGTGCCTCCGGGGGGCCCCGCGCCGGCCCAGAGGTGACCGTCACAGTGCGATCACCCCGGAAGCCGGATCAGCGATCAGCGTCAACGTACAACGAAAAAGAGACAGAAAAAAACGCTCGAGACAGTGTGGAGACGCGAGGCGGATAAGCGCTGCGCGGCGCCGTTGTGTGGCGGCTGGCGCCGTGCCACTGCACCACTGCACGCCTTGGCACCACTGCACGCTCCCTCCTCGCTAGTCCCGTGCCCAGTGTCGTGTGAGGGAGTTTTGTCATAAAATCTTATTCGAGCCTGTCTGCTGTGAGAGAGAGTGGGTCCTTAAATTCTTAGCGGAGTCGCTTAGGCGGCTCCGGTGGCCCCACAGCGTGGACAATTACTCCCCGGTAAGATACAGCCCCTTGGAGTGTGAAGGACGAAGGCCTCGTAGCCCTCCAGGGAGAGTGTGTGAAGACCCGGAGGGTTGGAGCGAAAAAAAGCAAGCGAGTGGGTAAGATATGGGTAAGGTGTTTCTAGATGTTGACCTAGAATCTTCGTAGAGTCTATACGACGCCTCTAAATCGTTTACCCCCCCCCCCCCCCGGGCGCGTCTACTCCCCGTTCCACATTCAACACTTTCAATGTTTACACATATGCTGTGAGACTGTGTGAGAGAGTTAGGGGTCGAGAGAGCGAATGCGTTCTCCAGATAGCGCAACCTCCGTCTCGGGAGGCCCGACCACACACGAGCAGGAGTGCATCACCGACCGTGAAGAAGGCCGCTACGACATCACATCGGAGTGCCCGACCTCCTCGAATGACTCGGAGTCGGAGTTCTTGTCAGGCTCGGAGCACGGCTTGGAGTCCTTACCAACGGGCGTTGGTGTGGTGTGCATCGTACCAAAGGTCCAAGCGGCGCCGCCGACGAGAACAACAAGCGTGACCAAGGCTTTTGCCAGCACGCAGTGCCCAGAAAGGTAGAGCGGTGCTTTGCGGCGGCAACGAGCGCAACGAGCGCGCCTGCAGCCGCCTCCATCTCTTGGAGGCAAGGGGGCGTCGCAGCCACAACCGACAGTTCGCCAAGCGCCACGGAGCCGTTGCATTCGACAAAATCCTCGGCGGTGCGGCTGTCTTCAATCGTGGGGAGGGAGAGCTCCGTCGTCGGTGTCGCGGCGGTGGCGAACCAGCCCGGCGCCACAAACGTCACGACGACGAGGGAGGCGACGATGACGATGCCAATGAGGCAGATGCACGCCTTGCGCTGGGCGGCTTTGTCTCGAGCCTGCAAGCCGCGCACGGCCGCCTCGAGCTTCTCAGCCAGCTCATCAGCCCGAGCGATGGCAGTCGCACGCTCGGCCTCGCCCTTCTCCGCGCACGTGCTGGCCTTGGCAAGCTGATTGGCGAGGCCGTCGGCCCGGGCGGCGGTGGCTGCGAGCTCAGCCTCGCGCGCCTTGGCCTCGGCAGTCGCATCGGCGAGGGAGCTCTGCAGCTGAGCGATCCTGCGGTGGATCGGCGGCAGCGTCGTCGAATCAGCCATGCGCATGGCGTGGCTCGCCTCGCGCTCAAGGCTCTCGCAGCGGTGCTTGGCCATCGACAGGATGCCGATGGGAATGCCGAGGAAGTCGGCCGCGGCCTTGAGCTTGGCGTCCTTGCTGCCGTTGGACGCGGACGGGTTCTTGCGTACCGCGTCGTCTGCGTCGTCGAGCCTTGCGACCAGCACAATCGGGTTGATGCCGAGCCGCACAATCTTGCCAAACTGGTCGCGGATCTTTTGCATAAACTCGCCGTCCGTGTCGTCGAGCTCAGTATAGGGAAGCATGAAGACGACGGCGTGCGGCGTGCGGCCAAAGCGGTTCGCCTCGACAGTCAAGTCCTGCGACTCCGAGAGCATTGCCGGGTCGATGTGGTCGTCCATGTCCCAACACCGTGGGGCAGCGACCCCTTCATGATCGCCTCGAGCTCGGGACCCCTGTAGTTCTGGCGTCAGGCCCTTGGTGTCCCACACACGTAGCGGCAGCTCGTTGGGGAAGTCGGAGCGAGAACGTGCAGTGATCGACCCCGCCGTGGACTGGCTGTGCGCAGGGCAGCGCCTCGCCCGAGTTGGCGCCAGATATAAGCGCATCGTCCACGCGGAGCACAACTCATAGAGAAGACGTCCCTGTGAAGCTTGAATTTCACACGCATGACGCACGGAAGCGCCTCTTTTTGCCCCCCGAGACCCTGCGCTCAAAGGCCGAGCGTCGCGTCTCGTCGTCCTGACCCAGTAAGCTAAAGGTACTGTACACTAGAGGGAGAGACGTACACTCACTCGTAAAAGTACGTACACTGAGAGAGAGGAGAAAAGGAGAGGGGGGGGGGGTCTCTAGGCCCCTATAAACAGCGCCAACGCGCCAACGGATGGCATTGCGGCGCACCAGGAGCGCAGGCCACACCTTGTCTGCTGGCTCAGAAGCCCTTTCCAAAATCCGGCTTCGGCCCGATGAGCGCATCCGACTCGAAGATGTAGGGCGTGTACCTACTCGTGGGAGCGGGAGTATTAGCGGCGGCGGCGCGGCGGCGGCGGCGGCGGCGGCTGGCGGCGGCGGCTGGCGGCGGCGGCGGCGGCGGCGGCGGCGGCGCGGCAGTGTTAGTGGCAGTGGCGGTAGCAGCAGTGAGAGGAGCATAGTAGTAGCGGCTGGCAGTGGCGTCGGTGGTGAGCGTACGCAGCGTTGCCGCCGTTGGACTTGACCGCCTCGGTGATGTAATCTTGCGAAGAGAAGGAGAAGCCCAGCGGGAACGGGCCCGGAACCCACTCCGGGATGACGTTGAACACCATGCGGAAGAGAATGGGCGACGGCACGGGGAAGTGCGCCTTGAAGCCCGTGTTGTAGTCGTTGAACACGCGCAGCGACCAGGTGGCGTTCTCGTCGACCGGGTCGGTGAACTCGCAGATGCCCAGCGCAGCCGGCGCAGCCTGCGGGACGTGCGCGTGCGCGTGCGCGCGGACCGGAAGGGGGGAGAGGGGGGGGGGGGCGTGCGGGCGCACGGTCGCGGGCGCACCGTGTACATGCGGTCGGTCCCGCACTGGAAGCTGCTCCCCGCCGCTTCCATGCGGCCCGGCAGGATGTCGCGCTTCGAGATCCAGATCATCGGCGGCTCGCCGGTGGCAAACCCCTTGGCGTTGGCTTCGGTCGGCTCCTTGAGGAAGCCGCGCACCTCCTCGACGAACGAGTACTTGCAGATATCCGTCTGCAGCGCCGCCTTGAAGTCCGCATTCCACTTGCCCCATGTCTGCGTGTAGTCGGTCGCGACCGTGCCGCAGTAGCACTCCTTGAGCGCTGGCGGCTCCGGCACGAGGTCAGAGGCCGAGTCGTACCACGCAAATTGCACCGCCGTCATCTCCTTGTCGCGATCCATGAAGCTGAAGCACGCGCGCACGCCCTCTCGGACCATCGCGCCCTCCGCGTACTCGGCGAAGGCGCTCTTGTAAGCGGCCTCGTCCTTGATGGTCCGAGAGGAGAAGACCACGCACGGCTTGTACGCATTGGACGTTGCCTGGCGCGCTTCTGTGTCGGCCTTGCGGTTGCGGACCTTGTCGGCCAGCGAGTAGAGCGGCTTGAAGACCTTGGATCCATACCCGACGAGGAGAGGCACAACCACGGGCGCTGCCTTGTTGAGTAGCTTGTCATACGGCCTGACGTCGAGGCCGCTTTTGCCCTCCCACGGCAGCAGCATGGTGGGTGCGACCGCGGCGCGACTGCTACGGCCCGACTGCTTGTCGTACGACAGCTTGTCATACGGGCCGTACGACCGCGGTCCCACCATGCCGCTGCCGTGCGCGACCGCGGCGACCGCGACCTCGCGCGACCGCGGCGCGACTGGCGGCGGGTGGAGCACGAGCGCCAGGGTGTCTGCGAGCAGCATCGCCAGCCCCCAAAACAGCAAACCAGTTCCCTGCGTCGGGGGGAATGGCAGGCGCCGAGTTTCCGAGGCGTGAAAAGGATTCTCGCCCGCTCTGCTGAGGGGAGGGGACGGTCGACTGGGCCGGTCGCTCGACCCGATTCTACTCTACTCTCACTCTTACCATTCAATAGTGTCTGTGACGGCGGTCACATTCACAGCGAGGTCAGTTCACAGCCGAGCAGCCGATCCTGACACGCTTCACTTTCAGGGCCCCGCCGCGGCTCGAGCAAGGTCTCTATGGCGATCGACATCTTGCCAGCTGTTGCTCGCCCGTCTACCCACTACCGCTACCGCGCCTTCAGATACAGTCGCAGAGAGGCTTGGCTTCGCTCAGACGTCATTCGTGCCTTGCTGGCGCGTGCGGTGCCACGCTTTCCTGCGGTTCTCTACGTTTATCGTTTTTGTCGGTGCGATTGCCGTGGTGGCGGTGGGTGCAGCCGAGCCGAGTGTCGTCGTTGACGGCATCGCGCTCTTCTTTCGACTGCCTTGTCCTGGCTGGCCTGGGTGGCAACTCCTCATCATCACGCGCCAGGCGGGAGGGAAGTGGACGGGGCCCTGAGCCGACCTAGCCCTAAACGGAATGGGGCGCCCAACACGTGCCCGGATTACTGTGCCTTCCCCGGGTGCAGCCTTTCGGTTCGTGAAGGGTCGGTGCGTGTCGTGACCCCCTGGAACACCCGTACCCCCGCACCATCTCCGTCGCTTGGTTCCATAAACCTCTGCCACCACCGGGAGGCGGCCAGGGCTTCATAGACTCGGTCGAGAGACCCCAGATTGGCATCCATGCCTCTCTGGACAGGGTGGCCCGCCACAAGGACCCCAGGAATTGCGACTCGCCGCTTTCCTCCCGCTGTGATTCTGTGTGAGCTCTGTGTCTTGATTTGCCAACAATATACCTAAAGTGTTGTGCGAGGGAGTTTTGTGGTAAGATTCTTTTTCTCTGCCGGTGATAGTACTAGCACGCGCCAGTTCGCACCTGTGTCGAGCCTGTGTGCTGTGAGAGAGAGTTGTCTTGTTTAAATTCTTTTTCTCGCGATGTCCACCCCGCCGCGCCGCAGCTCGCGCCGCCTCGCCTCCGTCTCCTCCGCCGCCACCTCTCCAGACACGCCGCCGCCCGCCCGCCTCCTCGACCTCCCAACGGAGCTCCTCGTGCGCGCCATCTCTCGCTGCGACCCCGCCGACATCGCTCGCGTCGCGGCCGTCTCGCTGCTCTTCCACGCCTCGCTTGCGGTGGAGGGCATCCGCTTGTGGGCGCAAGAGCGCGGCTTCGAGCTGCCGGCGCTGCCAGAGGGTGAGGGCTGCGCCGTGCGGTGGCTGTGCTTTGTGGCACTGCTGTGCGAGTCCAACCCGCCGGCGAGGGCGGCGGGAGGCACTCGGCACAGCCTCTTCATTGACGGCGAGGGGCGGCTCTCGTCGTGCTGCTCAGCGCCGTTCTACGCTCAAGGGCTGCTCGGGCACGGCGAGGGTGTGGCGCGGCTCAACACGCCAACCCGGAACCCGTCGACGCTGGGCGGCGAGCGCGCCGTGAATGTGTCGGTTGGAGCCGAGCACAGCCTCGCCCTCACCGCCGGCGGCGCTGTCTGGAGCTGGGGCAGTGGAAGCTTTGGCAAGCTGGGCCACGGCGACCAGCAGAACCAGCTGCTGCCCAAGAAGGTCGAGGCCTTCACTGGCCAGCGCGTCATCGCTGTCTCGGCTGGGGCTGGAAGCAAGCACAGCCTCGCCCTCACCGCCGACGGAGAAGTTAGGAGCTGGGGCTGGGGAACCTACGGCCAGCTGGGCCACGGCGACTACCAGAGCCAGCTGCTGCCGAAGAAGGTCGAGGCCTTTGCTGACCAGCGTGTCGTCGCGGTCTCGGCTGGAGAAAGCCACAGCCTCGCCATCACCGCCGACGGCGCCGTCTGGAGCTGGGGCGCAGGAGCCTATGGCAAGCTGGGCCACGGCGACCAGCAGAGCCAGCCGCTGCCCAAGAAGGTCGAGGCCTTGGCTGGGCGGCGCGTCATCGCTGTCGCTGCTGGATGGACGACCAGCCTCGCCCTCACCGCCGACGGCGTCTGGAGCTGCGGCCGCGGAGACTCTGGACAGTTGGGCCACGGCGACCAGCAGGACCAGCTGCTGCCGAAGAAGGTCGAGGCCTTGGCGGGGCAGCGCGTCGTCGCTGTGTCGGCGGGAGGCATGCACAGCCTCGCCATCGCCGCCGACGGCGCCGTCTGGAGCTGGGGCGATGGAAGGGAAGGCCGGCTGGGCCACGGCGACGAGCAGCTGCAGCAGCTGCCGAAGAAGATCGAGGCCTTGGCGGGGCAGCGCTTCGTGGCCGTAGCGGCTGCGTGGCAGCATAGCCTCGCCATCACCGCCGACGGCGCAGTCTTTACCTGGGGCGGGGGCGATCTCAGATGCCTAGGCCACGGAGAGGACCTGTCGAACCAGCTGCTGCCCAAGAAGATCGAGGCGCAGGCGCCGGCGGCGGCGCATGTGGCATGAGTACAAACCGACAGGATATTTGCGATGAGGCGCGACACTGAACGAAGGGTTCTTCGGGGTTAGTTAGCGCACCAACCACTTGCCGCCGAACGCAAGCGCACTGCGACGTATCGGGCTCATAACTTGCATCTCCTCGCATCTCCCCGTATCTGCCCGAGCGCGAACGCCTTGCATCTCCTCGCATCTCCCCGGCTGAGGTTAAATCCGCCATCTCCGCACGCGTGCAGCGCGAGGCCATCGTCCGGGACAAGATGTCGATCGAGGACGAGACCGAGGTCGAACTGCCAGGCGGCTGGATTGCGGACGCCGTCAACGAGACGTCCGGCTGGTTCACCGAGTTCAAGAAGCTCGACAAGCACGCCTCTCTCACCGCGCGCGGACAGATTCAGACCTACCGCGCAGACGTTTGAGAGGTTTGGGCGCTCGTTCCGCTCGCGCGTCGTCTTCTTCTCCGAGGAGAACGAGGAGGTCGCCCGCGAGGTATTCGATGAGATCCTCGAAGACTACCGGTTGGCGCCGTTTGGTCTCACCGAGGCCGTGCTCGTGCACATGTCCAAAGTTGATGTCCGCGCGCACGAGGCGCAGCTTAAGGAGCTCGATCGCATCACCATGTAGCGATATTGCTTCGATAGGCTTTCATTTTTTGAATCGCATGATGGGCCTCCGCGGAGTGTGTGTGTGTGTGTGATGCGAGTCGACTGGTGTGTGTGTCGTCGTGTGGTTTCGTATCAAGAATACTCACTCCCTCACTCACCTCACTCCGCGGATGCGGGCGGCTCGCCTGGGGAGGGCGGGCCGCTCGCATCGCGGCTGAACCCCCCCCCCCCACACACACACATGACATAGTCATAGACAGGGTGCGTGTGACTCTGAGTCCTCTCGTCTTGCGGCTTACTTACCTCTGACTGACTGACTGTGTGTTCTTTCACCTTCGATACTTACTCCAAGTGCTCCAAATCCACAAGCGGTGTGCCCGGCCTTAACCTTCTTCCTTTCTCTCTCTTCTGCAGGATGTCACCCCCTGCCCAGCCCCGCCCCGGTCGCCGGCTCCGCTCACGACGAGAGAATCACCTTCTTCCCCTTGCACGCCTTTTGCAACGCCTTGAGGCCGGGCGGCGTGGCGAGGCCGAGGGCGCCCATTGACGAGCGGAATGGGTTGCCGCCCAGCTCAATCTCGATGAGCGCCGCCAGCGGGCCGATTGCCTGCGCCAGCGAGCCGAGCGTCGCGTCGTCGCCGACGTCATTGCCACGGAGGAGCAACTTGCGCAGCTGTGGCATCCTCCCACCGCCGAGGGCGGCGACGAGCGCGCGCATGCCACCGTCGCCGACGCCGCATCCCCGCAGCTCAAGAATGCGCAGTTCCGCCGCGGGCTTGACGCCTTTGGCGCAAGGGGGGGCTGGTGACAGTGGCGGTGGCCGGAAAAGAGGCTACCGGAGGCGGACAGGGCGCCTTCTGACGCGAGGCTGCCAAAGAGAGCCTGTGCACCCTCGTCGCCCAGATCGCCATGCGAGAGCGAGAGCGTCTGCAGCGCGCGCATCGAGGGCAGCGCGCAGCCGAGGCTCTTCAGCGTCGCTGCGTAGATGGGACGGACCGGCGTCAGGCGAGCCACCAAGCTAGGGTATGGCGGGGGGAAGCCACCTGCTGAGAGCGGGTTGTGCCCCAGCTTGAGCGAGACAAGCTCGGGCGCGCCGCCGCCGCCGAAGTGCGACGCGATCGCCGTCGCGTCGCGCAACCCGTTCCTGGATAGGTCAAGGGAACGGAGCGCCCCGCCACGCGCAGGCAGAGACGCAACGAGGAGCACGAGGTCGGCGTCCCTCAGCTCAAGGCGAGTCAGCACGACGTTCTCGCTGCTGAGCAGCGCCTACGGGGAAGGGGGTGGCTGCGTGCGGCGCTGCACACTGCATCTCTGCTGCGTCTCGGCGATCTCGCGCCTGGTCAACGAAGCTCACGCCCGGACTCACCGCAAACGGCGCCACGATCGCCCGCGCTGCGTCGCCGCCAAAGCTGTTGTGCAGCAGTTCAAGGCGCAAAAGCGCGGTGCACGCGGGGGCGCTCTGCGCGAGAGCCGCAGCCGCACCGTTTTCGAGGGCGTTGAAGCTGAGGAGAAGGCTTTGCAAGCACTTGAGGCGAGGCATCATCGAGGCGAGCGCGACGCCACCTACACCGCCGACGCACTGCTGTCTCTGTCTCTCTGTGGGCCAATGAGGAGGATCAGGCCATCAGAATGGGGCGCCTGGGTCGCCTATCCGGCCGCGGCTACCAACGGGCGGTCCGCTCAGATCCACGCACTCGAGAGCGGGGCAGGCGCCGGGCAGGACACGTGCCAGCGATATTGCAACACCGTCGTCGAGGCCCCGGTTGGCTTTGAGGTTGAGCACGCGCAGATTTGGGCAGCCCGGCGTGTGCAGCCGCCACAGCAGCGTGTGGAGGGTGTCTGCGCGCAGCCCTGAAAATGCGACGTCCACCACCTCCCGCTGCAGCTCTACGTCCGTTAGCCCGGTCAGGCGTTGGTTCTCGCGCAGCGCTGCGTCCGTTGGCACGATGCGGCCCGCCTCGTCGGGCGAGTCGGAAGAGGCCGCCGCGTCGGGCACCGGGTAGGCGACGACTTTTGCGTTGGACGCCGGCACGGGCGTGCCAATCGCAACGTCCACCATCGGAGGAAGGGAACGTATCTAGATAGGTCTAACCCTTAAAGGCCTACTTTGGGCTTGGGGACGCGCGCCGACCGTGCATGATTGGGACTCGCGGCGCCTCCCAGGCCCGCCGCAGCGGTCCCATGGGTACCTGCCGTCCGTACCAGTCCACGGGCTGGCCCTGGGCACATTCAGACCGAACCCGCTGCGCAATCCGGTCTCGGTATTGCTGTCGGCGGCCGGCAGCCCTCGGGGGTCGAGTCGCAGGATGTCGCAAAACTTTGCCACACGTGCTCGAGCGTCGAGCTTTCGGTGTCCCCAGTCGCAACTACCTCCGGCGAGGTGGCTGAGATTGCAAAATCGCATCGGTGGCGCACGCGGAGAGCACCAGTGCTCTCTGCGTGCGGTGAGAATGCGACTGATAAGCGAGAGAAGGGGCAGTACAGAGGCCGGACAGCGAGGCAGCGACTCTGGGCGCTCGCTCTACGCGAGTCGTTATTTGCTCCCTGGATACCAATGCGTTGGTCGTCTTCGATGCTGATCAGGCAAGCATAGTACATTGCACACACCACACGACGCGGCTCGCAACAGACTCAAAACACACAAATGCGGGACTGTGGCATCCTATGACAATACCAGAACACAGCTTACTCACAGGCCGTTCGCCTGATCGCCCGTCGCCGCCGCTGCCTCTTGGCGCGCCGCTGCGGCGCCCATCGCCTTCGCCTTCCCCCAGGTCTTCCTTGGGGCTGGGACGGGGGCAGCGGCTGCATCGGCCGAGGGCGGCTCCAGCTCGAGCCAGCCCGACGAGAAGCGGTGCGAGGGGTCGAACACGCGCCGCTTGAGGCGGCCGATCGCCTCAGCAGCAAAGTGCCACGTGCGGTCGCCCTTCCGCTTCGCCTGGAAGGCCTTGGGCACCACAGCATTCTTTCGCGCGCCCGTCCGCGCCGCCTTCCAGGTCGCGCCGCTCACCTCGCGCGTGCACTTTTCCTCGTTCCACATGATCTTGGCGAGCCGGCCGTACATCGGGCCGTATGACTTGTACACGATCCGCTTGCTAATGAACATGTGCAGGACGTTGTTGAAGCTCTCGTTGTTTGAGGTAGACCCGTGGTTCACGCACCTGCTCACAAATGAGTAGTCAGAGGGGCGAGGGGCGGGTCGGGCTGTAAAGGGGATGGGGGTTACTACTTTTTGAGGATGCAGACAGGGTTGCCAGGTGAGAGCGAATGGCGCGGTTCACGCCTCGCACAACAGAGAGAGAGATGCGCTCTGCATGGTGGGACATAAAAGAGAGCGAGTACTTGGGCGAGTAGGCCGTGCGTTTGAGATAAGTGACGTCCCGATATAATTACTTACTCTCGTGAGACGTGAGAACCAAATCGGTGACGCGAGACGAACAGCGATGATCGTATATAAGCCCATCTTATGTGCGGAGTCCGAGGCGGCTCGCGTGGTGTGGTGTACCTTAGTTCAGAGCGGTAATTCTTTGTTTAAGTTCTGAAAAAAGAAAAGCGATCACGCCGTGCCCCGACCGTGCCCCGGAATCCGCTGCATGCCCGAGCCGGCCACCACCTCCCTCGACGCCGCCCTCGACGCCGCCCTCCGCTCTCGGCGGTCGGACCACGGCGGCGTCCCTGTCGGCGCGCTGCTCGTCCCAAAGCGGAAGCTCACGAGCTGTCGGGCGGCGCTCGAGGCGGCCGTCGGCGACCTGCGGCACGGCACGCGGTCCGACGTGCGGCACGCGCTCGTGGTTGACCGCGTCACGCCGGACATGTTCTTGCTCCATGTTCCTGCCACCGTCGCGGGCGTCCTCGACGATCCGGCCGCCGCGCCGGCAGAGCTGGCCGCCGCCGTCGCCTCGGCGGTCGGTGCGAGCGGCGCAGTCTTCTACTCCGGCGTGCGGCGGTGCGACGCGCTGTTTGGGCGCGCGCTGCCGCCGCTTGCACCGCGGCCGGGCCCACCCGAGGCCTTCACCTTTGCAGAGGTCTTTGCCGGCATCGGAGGCTTCCGGCTCGGGCTGGAGCCACTCGGAGGGCGCTGCGTCTTTGCGGCCGCGCTCGACCCGCGCGGGCGGGCCTCCTCTTCCTTGGCCCTTCTCGGAGCCTGGTCTGAGCCTTCGCGTAGGCCGAGCTCGACCGCGCCGCCAGCCGGGCGTACGGCGCGCACTGGCCGGCAGGCGGAGATAGAAGCGGACTATCTCCCCGTATCTCCCCGTATCTCCCCGTATCTCCCCATATCTCCCCGCACTGGCCGGCAGGCGGAGAGCCCCGTGCGGGCGACATCTCCAGCGTGCACGCCGCCGACCTGCCCGCCTTCGACCTGCTCACCGCCGGTGCTAGCCGAGCTGTAGCCGATGGCCGAGTAGCCGAGCTGTAGCCCGAGACCTGCCCGGCTACAGGTCATAGATGTAGACTTGCCCGCCTTCGGCTTGCTCACCCGCCGGCTGCCCGCGCCAGCCCATTCTCTTACCGTGAGGACGATGGTGCATGCACAGAGAGCCTGCCCATAGGCTTCCCGTGCCAGCCCTTCTCCGACCGCGGCAGCAAGGCGGGATGCGCCCGAGATGCGCCCGAGATGCGGCCGAGATGCGCCCGAGATGCGGCCGAGATGCGGCGAGTTGCGAGATCGGTGAGCTCAGTCACCGATCAGCCAGTGAAGCTCGCGAGGCGTGATCCCCACCGCACCTCCTCTCAGGCCGGTCTGCTCGACCTGCGCGGCCAGCTCTACCGCGAGCTGGTCCGGCGAGGTGTAATTAACTATTCATTAACGATTAACTAACTGTAATTAGGCCAGCTCTACCGCGAGCTGGTTCGGCGAGGTGTAATTAACTATTCATTAACGATTAACTAACTATAATTAGGCCAGCTCTACCGCGAGCTGGTTCGGCGAGGTGTAATTAACTGTTAATTAACGATTCACTAACTGTAATTAGGCCAGCTCTACCGCGAGCTGGTTCGGCTGCTGTCCGCGCGGCAACCGGCCGCCTTCCTCTTCGAGAACGTGGCCAGCCTCACGGAAGGTCGCACTCCTTATTGAAAGGGCTGCGAGGCCGTCTCAATGCATCGACAGGCCGCCAGCCTCAGCCGCGGCGATCGCACTCCCTCGGCGGTGTGTGAGGGCTGTGTGGGTGAACCAACCGACAGGTGGCCGGGCTCGTCACCATGGACGGCGGCGCGCGCAGCGCCAGCGTGGCGCGCAAGGCGTACACGGACGCAGCCTTCACGCCCGGCCGCACCTGGCCTCGCCTCGTTGACGCCCTCTCACACGGAGAGCCGCACGACGCGCCCAGGACGTGCCCCGGCAGGCCGCACCTTTGCGCGCATCGTGGAGGAGCTCTCGCAGTGCGGCTACGCGGTGGCGGGGAGGAGCGTTCCCCGCCGCAGCTCCGCAGCCTCCGTGCCGCAACGGCGGCCGTATCTCCCCTCCAGGTGGCGAGGGAGCAATCTCCCCGCATCTCCCCACCTCTCCCCACACCTCCCCACATCTCCCCGCATCTCCCCACCTCTCCCCGCATCTCCCCACCTCTCCCCACCTCTCCCCACATCTCCCCACACCTCCCCGCACCTCCCCACACCTCCCCACACCTCCCCACGCCTCCCCACACCTCCCCACACCTCCCCACACCTCCCCACACCTCCCCACACCTCCCCACACCTCCCCACACCTCCCCACACCTCCCCACATCTCCCCACATCTCCCCACATCTCTCCGCATCTCCCCGCATCTCCCCACATCTCCCCACATCTCCCCACATCTCCCCGCATCTCCCCGCATCTCCCCGCATCTCCCCGCATCTCCCGGTATCTCGCAACCAGGTGTCGTGGAGGGTGGTCAGCGCTAAGGAGTGGCTGCCGCAGCAGCGGGAGCGCGTCTACCTGGTCGGGTTCCGACGCGACCTCGGCATCGAGATGCGGTGGGGGCGGCGTGCGCGGCGGCAAGTAATTAACGAATGTGGAGATTGATTCATTACTTAATTACCAAAGGTGGGGCGGCGTGCGCGCGGCGACACCTAATTAATTAATCAATCCATCTCCACACTTCGTTAATTGATTAGGTGGGACGGCGTGCGCGGCGGCAAGCCGTCCTCCGCGCTGCGCGACGTGCTCGAGTCCCCGCGCAGAGCAGGCGGCAGAAGACGTCGCCGAGCCAAGCACACAAGGGGGTGCGAACAGGTGCTCGAGGCCCCTCGCAGCGAGGCGGCGGCGGCGTGCGAGCTGAGCGAGGCACAGTGGCAGCAGCTGCGCGGCCAACTCGCCTCATTCAAGCGGTGGCCGGGCGCGCCGCCCTGCTCTCTGTCCGACAGGGCCGTCGACTTGTGCGCAAAGGCGCCGACGCTGACGTCGTCGTACCGGCACGTCTCGAACTACACGAGCCGGTACGTCTGCGAGGAGCTCGACGGCTCGCTCCGCGACGGCGGGCAGCGCAGGCCGCGCTTCCTGTCGCCGCACTTTCTAGACACCTCCTAGACACTTCCTAGACACCTCCGCTGACTCCGTGATCTGCAGGCCGCGCTTCCTGTCGCCGCGCGAGTGCGCGAGGTTGATGGGCGCCCCTCGACGCGCTCAGCCGTCCCGCCACCGCACGCCAGCGTCTCTTCACACCCGCTGCTGTGAACAGGGTTCCCGGACTCGTTCGCCGTCCCGCCGGCGCACGATACGCACGCGACGGCGCACTTTTACCGCCAGATCGGCAACGCCGTCTGCCCGCCCGTCGTCGAGTCCGTCGCCGCGGAGATGTTGCGGCTGCTGGAAGCAGAGCGAGGTGGTGTGGGAGGGCAGGGGTGGAGGGCGCCGGCGGCCGCTGTCGAGGGGGTGGCACCACCAGCGATTGTGCGAGAGGGGGGGGAAACGAGTGCATGCTCTTTGTGCTTGAGAGGAGGTGAATAAATAAATAAAAACGGACACCTCTCTACTGTGAGAGGAGGTGAGAGCTGTGACAGCTAATAATAAAAATAAAAAATGAGAGAGGTTTGACTTTGAGGTTTCACAGTGCTACCCGGCATCGAAAGTAAAACCAAGAAGTTGGCATGCCAATTGTGGCACGATGCTGCGCCTGCGCGTGGGTGGATACTGGGGAGCAGACTGGGCTGGCGGTTTTTACACTGGGGTGCGAGTTCATTTCTCTGGAAGGACGGGAACGAGATGATAGTAGGGAGTAGAAGAAAGCAAAGAGGAGCCCTGCGCACGCACGACTCCGCAGGAGAAGCCCCTCCCCACAAAACACAAGGGAGAGGTGGGTGGGTCACAGAAAACTGCGGCCGCCAGCGACTGAGCCAGTCTCGCTGGCGGACGACGAGAGGAACACAAAGGGACGTCCGGACGTCCATCCACTGGGATGAGAATACTGGAGATCTGAGGTCGAATCTGCCGATTCCACAGCCGCCCACAGGAGCGCCGCCTCAACACGGGGTCTCGGCTCTATCGAGCCATGCTAGCTCCAGCCGCAGCCCCACCCGGCCGCCCGAGGGTGTTCCCGCATGCAGAGAAGACCAATCCTGGGGGAAGTAACCTTCTCTGGTAGGACGGGAACGAGATGATAGTAGGGAGTAGAAGAAAGCAAAGAGGAGCCCTGCGCACGCACGACTCTGCAGGAGAAGCCCCTCCCGCCCGTGCTTGCGCAGCGCAGCCTCCTCCTCCCTACTCGCAAGCCGGGTAGCACGCGGGTGATTATGAGGGGTTCCACCCTGCGGTGATTATAAGGGGTTCCACCCTGCGGTGATTATGAGGGGTTCCACCCTGCGGTGATTATGAGGGGTTCCACCCTGTGGTGATTATGAGGGGTTCCACCCTGCGGTGATTATGAGGGGTTCCACCCTGCGGTGATTATGCGGGGTTCCACCCTCTGAAGCGCGCCTTATGCGGTCAGTTGTCGCGGAGGCAGCGGCCGCAGTTGATTGAGCGGGACGCGCGCGTCTTCGTATGGTCGGCCATCGCGCGTCGCGGCAATCGTGAACCGGACGATTGCGGTGTGCTTGGAGCATCGCAACACGGTCGCCGCCCAGCCGGCTCCACCGAACTCCTTGCATGCGTACTGCGGCCAGAGGGCGCTTGCGACGAGGACCGGCCGCCCCGTGGCGTTTTCGGCGGTGATCGGTCGAGTGTCGGTGGGCGCGCTTGGCGCTGCTTCGCGAGTTGGCGGCTGCATGTTTGCCGCACCGCCTGCTCCGCGGGCGGTCGTCGCGCCGCTCGTCCCGCGAGGCGCGGCGCCCTGCGCTTCTGCGTACGCCGCCCTATCTGCAGCGCACTGCCTCGAGCAGAAGTCGGCCACGTCTGCCATCCCCTGGTCCATGACTACGTTTGGAACATTGGCGGCCTGGATGTTGCTGACGTCCGCGCGCGTAGCCGCCCAAAAGTTTGCTTCGTGAGCGACGGCACCCGATCGGCTGTAGACGTGTAGCGACGCTTCGCACATCCAACGGCACATTAGCATGATGACGGCGTCTGGGACTCCCGCGGCGTGGAGCGCTGTGGCAAGGCCGGAGCGGTAGGAGTGCCACGTGTAGATCTTCGCCGCCGCCTCCCCGCAGGCGTGAAGGAGAGCAGCCTTGAGGAGCGTGTCGAGTATCGAGTGCGTGAGTGGCGAGCCGTCCTCGTCCGCGAATAGAGGCGTTGTCTCCCGCTCGTCGTCAGGGCACGCCTCGCGCAGCTCGATGTCTCGGAGGGCGTCGCACGGGTCACCCTCCCTCGCGCTCAGTCCGATGAAGATGGTGAAGGGGCAGTGCGTCTCGCCCCCTGGTCGGGCTTACCGATCCATGATCAACCTTGTGCTTTGGCTGGTTAGCTCATTTGATTTGGAACCAAGACACGCTCAAGGCAAACTATGCGTGGCAGCACTTGCATGTGCCATCATACTGCTGATTGCGCGAACCAGTTTTTACGCATTTGAGTTGCCGTTGGGGCGCACCATACGTTCGCTGAGTTTTACGAGCATAACGACGGCTGCCCACAGCAAAATCTCATGGAGCGCATCAAAGCATCATGCTCGTGCACTCATCTGAAAATGAATGACCCAGGACGGCCCACATTGTATAACTACTTTGCTGTCCGAGGAAACGAGTCCGAGCTGCGCAACAGCGACCCGGCACCGCCGTAGCCCGACGAGAATGCGACTCAGCCGCCGGGCGCTGGAGAAGGTTTATTGTACTAAAGGTTGCCGGTGAGATGTGTCGTGAGCTTTAATTAAATTGCGTCTTTGCTCGCCCATGGGTGACAAGTAAGTGGTGTAGTATCCCGGACGAACCGCGAGGAAAGTAAATGAACCAGCAGGTCTTTACTCTTACCGATGGGGTCGCAGCAAGTAAGCTGCAGCCGGATAGACATAGATCGTCGCTTTCTGCAGGTACTCCTCGAGCGATCGGGCGGGCGCGTTGGTGCGGAAGAGGATTGCGATATCTGTATGGTCGAACGGCGCGCCGTCGGTGTGAAGCGACCGGATCAGCTTCACAATCAGCGCCATCTCCGCGTCAGGCGTCTTGGCGGCGTGCAGCTCGACAGCGTCGCCGCCGTCGCGGTGCGCCTGGGGCAGAGAAGTGAGAGTCGTGGGTGGGGGCCGTGAGCTGGAGCGGGCTCCATCGAGAGCAGTCGTAATGCATCCATTCGCCCATGTTGTATGTATTATGTATCTGACTGTGTTATGCATTCACGCGCCGGGCCGAGCGTTTTTTATCTCTGGGTCTGTGGGGGGCCGAGCCGCCTCGGGGTGGCGGGCGGGCGGGCGTTTTGAAAAACAGAAAACAGAAAACAAGAGGGGGCCCGGGGGCCCGGGACCCCACTGGGAGTAGAAAATACGCCCAAGGGGGCCCAAGGAGGCGGCGCGGGGAAGCAGCATCAGGTGAGAGCAGGAAGGATGGCGCTTAGGGTCGGCTTTGAACAAGGGTTTCCAGGTTTTAGATCAGAATTGGTGTCATGAGGTCAGCGGCGCGCAGTGCCTCTCTCGCAGGCTGATTTTGGCTGTTTTCGAGCTTGTTTTTGTTTTCAGTCTAAGGGGGCCCGACCCCTCAGAGGCGGCGGGCGGGCGCCCACAGACCCAGAGATCAAAAACGCTCGGCCCCGCGACGCGCGAGGGTGGGAGAGGGCGACGTATTTTGCAAATACGTAAATGTATAGGCGCTAGGGTTATGGATCGGTAAGGATGCATATCACGATGCGAATGCATAGGGGGCAGCGTGCATATACATAACAGTACGGCGCACGATTGGGCGGCACAAAAAGAAAGTATCCGGATTGCCGCGACCCGCGAGAAACATATGCCCAATGCCCAGAGCCAGACGCGCTAGAGTGCTGGAGGAAGCTCAGGCGCCGCGCCCGAGCCCACCGCCCAGCCTCGAGCCCGCCGACTTGCGCTTGTGCAGGAGGTAGACGAGGACCGCCGCGGCGGGAAAGAGGACGCAGAGGACGCCGAGCACGACGGCCGGCGGCAGCCACCACGGCTCCACGCCGTCGGCGACGGAGTAGAGGTAGTTGAAGGTCGAGATGAGCGCCGCCGCGATCGCCGTCCCGACCAGCGTCACGCCGCGCCACTGCAGGTCGCGCACGCGGCGGATCCGCGCGAGCTCGAGGTTGATCTTCTTGCGGTAGCGGTAGCCGTTGGCGCGGATGTGGCCGCCGGTGTCCTTGCTGAGCCGCGCCTGCGGGTGTGTGTGTGGGGGTGGGTGGGGGGGGGGGGGGGGGGGCTGTCGCGAGGGCTGTCTATGAGTCGCGCCGTGTGGGGCAATCCGGTCTCAGTCGCTATTGCGGCCACAAAGAGAGGAGAGGACGTCTCCGTGTCTTCTAGCGGCGCGCCAAGATGTCGGCCGGCGCGTCGCCCTCGATGTCGAAGAGCGCCTTGGCGGCGCCGAGCGCGTTGAGCACCTATTTTGCAATACAGAGCCGCATCTCGATTGGGACACAAGAAATGACATGATGAGACGGTCAGAGCACAGGGTCGGAGAGCGCAAGTCGCGAGGAAGAGTACTACGGGTGGGGCGCCGGGCGCCTTCTGGTCGCTCGCGATGCAGTCGATGACGGCGATGCCGCGCTGAACACTGATCTGACGCCGCAGCTCGAGGATCGACATCCAAGTGGCCGCCACGTCCTTCCATGTGTCCTTCAGCACAGCCAGCTCCTGTTGGTAGGGGGCAGGGGTGAGAAACGAACAGCATGACGAGATTCACAATCTCTCTTGGCACGCACCTCGAGCTTCTCGAGCTTGTCTAGCAGATATGTCAGCTCGTTGTCGTCGACGTTGAGCTGCGGATCGGAGGCAACCAAGTGTGATTAGGGGGGGAGCCGGGTGGATGCAAAGAATGGGGTTGCGGGCCTGGATCGGGCTTCGGCGAAGGGCCAGCCGCAGCATGTCGAAGCTCCCTTGGAAGCCGCCGGCGCTGACCTCGTACTTTGTAGCGGCGCTGAGGACGGACTTGACGACGCGGCTCTTGATGCTGCCCTTGCCGCCGAGCAATGAGAACGCCTTCTTTGATGCGGACCCCAACGCCTTCAACTTGTCCGCGATCACCATCTCCATCTGCTCTGCCAGCTTGACCGGCTCGGAGCCGAGCTTGCTCAGCTCCTCCAGGGATGCGCCTATTAATAAAGCGTGCGAAATGAAGGGTTGATGAAGGGCTCTCACTGCTGGCAAATGCTCACCGCAGCGGCCGAGCAGGAACTTGGACACGAGCTTGGCGATCCCCTCCTCGATCAGCACCGTCTCGAGGTGGTTCTCGAGGCAGCCGGCGACGGCGGCGAAGTCGCTCAGGAGCCCGAGCTCGACGTCCTTGAGTTGCAGTGACAGCGTCTGCACTGCCTCCGACACCACCTTCACGGCGGACTTCTCGAGCGCCGGCAGCATAGACTTCGCCTCCTCGGCGATCAGGCGCAGGAGCTCTCGGAAGAGCTCGCTAGCGGCCTCGGTGCCCTCCTCCGCCTCCGCCGCCTCCTTCTCCTCTTCTTCCTCCTCTTCCTCCTTCTCCTTCTCGTCGCTGTCCTCCTCCTCCTCCTCCGCCTCAGCCGATGGCGGGAACGACGCCGCGAACTTGTCGAGCAACTCCTTGGGCTGAGGCTCGAGCATCAGCAGCACGCTCTCTCGCAGCGAGGCCCAAGGGACGGGAGGACCGCTGCAGACAGCGAGCAGCGGCTGCAGCAGCTCTGACACGAGCAAGCGCATGAGCTCGCGGGCAGCGTCGCAGAGGAACGTCGTCGCTGCCTTTGGCTGGCTGAGCTTGAGCTCGCAGACACCCTTCGCGGACTGCAGCACGCCGATGCAGTCGTGCAGCCCAGCGCGGAGCTTGCTGAGGATCTCCTCCGCGAGCAGGATCGCCGGCACCGCTGCCTGCGCGAGAGCCGCCACGCCCGCCTCAAGCGCGTCGCCGACGATGTCCGCGGCCTTCCCCTCCTCCTCCTCCTCCTCCTCCTCCTCCTCCTCCTCCGCCTCCTCGCCGTCGTCGTCGTCGTCGCTGCCGCCGTCGCTGTCGCCTCCGGCGATCGCCACGTAGAGCCCCTTCGTGGCCTGCCCGCCGACCGCCCGCAGCCGCCACGCCCGCGCAAGCGTCGGAGGGCGCGCCTCGGGCGGCTTGAAGGGTGAGAACTTGGCGCCGATGAGCTTGACGCCAGCGAGGACGGCGCGCTCGAACTTCGCGCCCCGCAAGTCGGCGCCCTCGAGGTCGGCCGTCTTGAGGTTGACGCCGATGAGGACTGCGCCGCGCAAGTCGGCATTCTTCAGGTCGGCGCCGCCGAGGTTGGCGCCGGTGAGGTCGGCGCCGTGCAGGTCGGCGCCCCCGAGGTTCGCCCCCTCCAGCTGCGCCTTGTAGAGACGAGCCCCCTCCAGCTGCGCCTCGCTGAGATCTGCCCCCTGCAGCTGCGCCATGCCGAGATTTGCCCCCTGCAGCTGCGCCACGCAGAGATATGCCCCCTCCAGCTGCGCGAAGCTGAGATATGCCCCCTGCAGCTGCGCGTCGCGGAGATCTGCCCCCTCCAGCTGCGCCTTGTCGAGCATTGCCCCCTGCAGCTGCGCCTCGTGGAGATATGCCCCCTCCAGCTGCGCCTCGCAGAGATTTGCCCCCTGCAGCTGCGCCCTGCGGAGAGCTGCCCCCTGCAGCTGCGCGTCGCGGAGAACTGCCCCCTGCAGCTGCGCGTCGCTGAGATCTGCCCCCTCCAGCTGCGCCTCGCGGAGATCTGCCCCCTGCAGCTGCGCGTCGCTGAGATCTGCCCCCTGCAGCTGCGCCTCGCGGAGATATGCCCCCTGCAGCTGCGCCCCGTGGAGAACTGCGACGCGCACCGACTCGCCCGGCTCGTACCGCAGCCACACGCCCCACTCCATCCACGCCTCGCCCAGCTCCGTCCCCTTCTTCCCCTCCACCGCCAGCAGCACGACGCCCTCGGACCCCTCCACGTTGTCGAGCTTCACCTTGCGCAGGTCGGCATCCCGCAGGTTGGTGCCGGCCAGCTTGGCGCCAGAGAGGACGGCCGCCCGCCGCTCCTCCGCCCCCTCCTCGGCCGGCTTGAAGTAAGACTCCTTCCCCCGCCACTCCCACGCCTTGCCGAGCGCCGCTCCCCCGAGGCCCTCCACGTCCGGCGGGGCGAAAACATACCCCTCCTGCAGCACCGCCTTTTCGAGATCCGCGCCGCGCAGGTCAGATCCCTTGAGGTTCGCGCCCGCCAGCATCGCCGCCGGCAGCGTCACGCCCTGCAAGTCTCGGCCCTCGAGCTGCTCGCCACGCTGGTCCGCCGGCGGCCGCACTGTTAGCGTTTGTGGCCGCACTTCCTCCAACAAGCGCCCGAGTTCGTCACGAGCGAGCCCACTCGCGTCGCTGCCGTTGAGCGCAAGTATAACGGACATCCGAGGCACGCCTTGCTCGAGCGCCGCGCCCTCAACAGCATCGACGAAGACAACCTTCCCATCGAAAGACTCGGTCGTCGTGATGCCAAGGGGCCCGGCCTCTTCAAAGGTGAAGCTGCGCGGCTCGCTAAGCGGCACGTCCTGCCCCGCAAGCGGACGCTCGGCGGCGGACCCGAGCGGCTCTGCCTCGGCGGCCGCCTCGTCCTCGCCCGCCGCCGGCCTTGCGCCGAGAAAGGCGAGCATGCTCGGCGATCGCCTTCGGACGCTGCCCAAAAGAATTACGCGAGGCGATCGCCTTCTGCGTCCCCCGACCGCCCCATCCGCACCCCCCATTTCCCCTCTGGTTGCGCGGCCTCTGCTTGCCCCGCCGGCGTCGTCTCTCGCCCCCCCTCCCCCCTTCTCTCGATGAGCCGCCCTCCTCCACACGCCCCTCCCGATCCCCCATCTCCCCAAACACGCCTCCCGCCTCCCCACCCTCCACCCCCACCGCCTCCTCCTCAATCGGGTCCCTCCCCCTCTTCCTCCCCCGCTCCCCCGCGACGCCCCCCCTTTCCTCGCCCACGCCCCCCCCCTCTCCGCCCCCCCCCTCCCCGTCCCGCGCCCCGAGCCCGGGCGCCTCCTCC